ATATTGATTTTAAAGAGGAAGGAAGAGGGGGAGAGAGATAGAAACATCAATGGTGAGAGAGATGTTGATCGGCTGCCTCCTGCACGCCTCACACTGGGATCAAAACTTTAACCCAAGCATGTGCCCTGACCGGGAATCAAACTGTGACTTCCAGGTTCATAGGTCGATGCTCAACCTCTGAGCCAAAATGGCCGGGCATAACTCAGATTCTTGATGCCTAAGAAGTGCAGATATTTCTAAAGTCCTCAGGCACTTTAAACTTTAAAATGCTCTGGGCTGTGATAGGAACAAACGATAAATGGCACATGGAAGCATAATTCATAAAGTTTTAACATGATCCCATGAAAATGTCCAAGCTTCAATATAACTGTCATCTTTTGTACATCATTCCATCTGTTTTCATCTGCCTGAAAGCATTCCACAGTTGTTTGGGATTAATCTCACTAATTACTTTTGGGAAGCTAGTCCCAAGATCCTCAGCCCTGCCTTCTATCATCCCAAGAAACATCGTTCTGATGAGACAACCAGAAACTCAATTATCTGCCTTTGGTATGTATGAAACTGCACAGTGACTACATCACAGTGTGGAGCTATATATAGGGTTTGGGCTAGTGCATCTGATCATTTTTACTTTGGGAGAAATCTACCCTCCCTACTTGCTGGAATGAACAGTAGTGGTGAATGGATGAATTGAGGCAAAGAGCCTCTCTCTCTAGAGCTGATGTGGAGGCACCTTTCTCTCAGTTCCCCAACTGTGCTTAAGGCCAGGGCATCACAAGTAAATTTGTTAACAAAAGTTCAGCTGCACTTGCTGGGAGAAGTTAGGAAAACCAAGGTTGCACCTGTTTCATTTTCTTTCTCTTTTTCCCTTTTATGTTTTCTTTCCACTGCTTACAATGAGAATATTTTATTTATTTACTTATTTATTTAATTAATTAAATAGCAAAGAAAAGCTGTCTTCCAGGTGTCCTTCATGGAGCCAGCAGTGGTTAGGTGAGTGAGGGCTGGACATATCTATAATTCAGCTCGGGAATATTTCTCTTAATAATTAATCGAGCGCCACAAAAGGAGGAGGCCCAATAAGGCCCTCGAACAAAGCTGCCAGCTGAGGATTACAGTGGCAGCCTCGGTGCCAACCGACCCGCCCAAGGTCGGCTTTTCTTCAGCATTCCTGCGGGGTAAGTGCGCCAGTGCTTGGCCCCTTCCGGGGAGCAAGGGGAGGTGCAGGGAGCTGTGGTCACCATCTGAGCTTCTGGTTGTGTGCCTTTAAGTTTGCACTTCCCACCACTATCCTTTCTTTTGGTGTATTCGTGGGAATTGCATATTTACATCCAGGTCCAGGGGCTTGTCACGCGCCTAATAAACAACCCATCCAGGGTTGAGGCTGCCGCCCTGGGCTCACTCGCCTGTCTCCTGGGTTACAACAGTTTTTGTTGTTTAAGTGAGGTGGGTGAGGTTAGAGATCCGACCACTACGCAGAAGTCATATTTCTTTTTTGTAGCAACAGGTTCACGGAGGCCTCCTCCGCTCCTTCCAAAGCCTCCCTCCCTCCCCCTCCCCCTCCAAGCCGGACTTCCAACC